ATCGTTACATGGACTTTGTTTCCCTTTTTTTCCCTTTCCAAACTATATGACTCTTGCAGCAACGAAAGGACATTAAAGCCATGTGGAGGATCCTCCAATCACAGCGGAGGAGGAGCTGCCTCGTCAGCAATGACTCCCCAAAACTAGGTCATGGGGGTAAAAAAAAAAAAAGGAATCAGCTTCTTTTTTTTTTCCCCACATGAGAACATGTGTGCTTGCATGTGAGCCAGTGTCCTGTCCTTCATGTTTTTTGTGGACACGACCTTTACTGTAGCTCTTTGATGTCAACGTCCTCCACTGTGATGTCCACTGTATATAAAAACACAAACACACATACACTAAAATACACACACACACGCACACACAGGCCTAAATGTGTAGATACATATTTCAACATTCACCTGTCACCTGTCTGTCCCTGACCTGTATAAAAGGTCACTGAGGCAGGAGATGAGTCTCTTCTGCAAAAGCATCACACAACCAAACAATGAAATAACGGTCAGGTGTGTATTTACAACAAGTGGCTATTTGTCTGCAAACAAACAACTCTAAATAAATGGTCACTGATGCAACATGTGCTGTATGCAGGCCATTGTCCATGCACAAAAGGTTTGTGTTTTTGACGGTTTATTTTCCATAAAGCAAATAAAAGAACAAAGAAAATCACAGCTCATGCTGCCTCTCTTGCGCTTGGAAAAAAAAACAGATGCTTACCTGCCTGACTTCTTCTTCTTTGAGGTGTATTGGTGGTTAGCAAACTCCATTGGATCTGCAGAGTCCCTCTGCACCTTTAAGAAAAAGCTAAAGACCCAGCTCTTTCATGAATACCTACTAACTTAATGATGATGGTCTCCATATTATTGATGATGATGATGGTAATGACGATGGTTTTTGTTTGATAACGACGACTTATAAGATGGTTTCTATACTGATTAGAGCTCTCAAGAACTGCCCTCAATGTTGTGCTTTGCCTCTGGTCACTTCCTGTCAGCACCTGTGTGTCCAATCAGACTCAAAGCTGATCGTTTGCTCTTACTCACATTGTTCCCTTTTTTCTAGATCCTTGCTTGTGTTGTTCTTACTCTCTGATGTACGTCGCTTTGGAGAAAAGCGTCTGCTAGGTGAATTGTAGAATTGTTGCATTTCCACCATATACATATATATATATAGGTATGAAGTGTAGGTGGAGTACAATTACTTGTTTGCCATCGCCCATAAACCTGATATTGTGTGATTTAACTTGAAGCTCCAAGTCCTACCTGAGGGTATCAGAGAGAACAAGAGAGGTGGGACGCCCCCCTGAAGACTAGATAACTACTACCCGTTTAATTGTTAGCACTTTACAATAAGGTAGACACATTTTGTATAGTGGGGAACGAGTGACGATCTAACCACTAGTTAATTAATCATTTGGTATTGGTGTCATATTTTTCACAATAAATATTACAAGAAAAAAAGAGTTCCCTCTTCTCCATTTTTTCAGTTTTCTTTTAAAATAACCAACAAAGCAAACAAACATGTCTGAGCAATAGAAGTTAATATCTGGTTCATTATATTGTCATTGCTGATTTAATGATCTCCCTCTGTGCAGTCAGTATGTCATTAACTGTAAATATTGTATTAGCTGTCACACTGTGAGTCTAAAGTCCTCGTGTTGTTGTTGTGTGTCTGCTGACAAGGAAATTTACGAGCAAAGGGGTAAGAAGAGGCGGGGGCTGCTATAAAGGAAGGTCACACATGTGTTCATGTGTTCATGTGTGTGTGCGTGAGTGTGCATGTGTGAGTCGGGGGGGGGGGGGGGTGCAGCCTCAGATGTCTTTTAGTGGAACAGGAATGTCATACATGTGTGGAGGAGAACGCACACACTTGGTGAGCAGTAGTTCCCAAATGTTTTCTGTCCCCCCCCCTCCCCTCCCCCCTCCCCTCCCCCCTCACCTAAAGCTGAAAGAAATTCTTCCACCGTGTCCGCAGTGAACTTTTCTTCAACCGTATCGTCTGTGAAGGATAGGACTCATATGCAACCACCTGTTTTTTGCTAAATTAATAAGAAAATAAGACTGAGGAGGATTTTAGTGAATATGAACTGGAAATTACAAGTGTGCTAAAAGAAAATTGTACACATACTAAAGACAGTTGATGTTACATTTCCATATCACATGAAATCTCCAGACACTTTACAAAAAGAGCAGGTGTACACTGTAACTTTAGTAATCTTTTTTTGTTGTTGCAGTGACCCGACCACAAGCCCACCATGAGCAAGCATTCAGCAACATTTGGAAACAATTGCACCAGGGACACATCGGACATGTGGCAGCAGGAGCTGGGGATCGAACCCCCCAAACATCTGGTTAAGAGACGACCAACTCTACCAACTGAGCCACAGCCGCCTCCAGTGTCAATCAAAAAGAAAAGGAGATTATTACATCAGAAACTTGTCCAGAGTCGACTGACATGTTGAGAAAACCTTGAAAAAGATGAAATCAGGCTGAAACATTTTGACCAACACGATGACTTAACAACTTTTCATTTTGGTGGCATTGATCAATTCACTGGCACAACGACTCAATTTTGAAAGAAGAAGGAAATCTATTTTGGCTGAATTATGACATTATTACAGAATTAGGAAAAGTCAAGACTGTTTCGAAAAAACGATTGAGAAAACCTGTAAATTTTAACTGTAAATCTGCAGTTCTAGATGAAGAATTCCCGTTAAAGAAAACTCAAAATGAAGATAAGATAAACCCAATGACCTCCACTAGATTATTCATGGCTCCATTTAAAGCCTCAGAGGATATTAAACAACTGATTGTACAGACTCAATAGATATTTACCCGTAACATATAAACTTAACTTCATGTGTGGAGCTGATGTTTGACAAACTTTTTGTTCATGTCTCCTCGGTCTATAAGAGTTTTTAAAAAATGTCCCTGCACAGTCTCATGTCTGCTCCTGTTTACTGTAAATGTTGTCCAAGCAACCAAACAAACTAAATATACAGCGGTGAAGAGTGAAGCTGCAGGAGACATCACTTAGGTCAGCACAGAGGTACGCTGCCAGGTATGTGACAGGACGGCATCGAGGACGGGCCAGTCATTGTTCCCACTGAAAATATCCTGAGAGATGTTCCACACCAACGATAGATAGATAGATAGATAGACAGATAGAGAGATGGAGAGAGAGAGAAAGAGAGAGAGAGAGAAAGAGAGAGAGACAGAAGAGAGATAGATAGATAGATAGATAGACAGAGAGATGGAGAGAGAGAGAAAGAGAGAGAGAGAGAGATAGAGAGAGAGAGATAAGAGAGGGAGAGACAGAAGAGAGATAGATAGATAGATAGATAGATAGATAGATAGATAGATAGATAGATAGATAAGAGAGGGAGAGAGAGAGAGAGAGAGAGAGAGCGAGAGAGAGAGAGAGAGATAGATAGATAGATAGATAAGAGAGGGAGAGAGCGAGAGAGAGAGATAAGAGAGGGAGAGAGAGAGAGATAGAGAAGAGAGAGATAGATAGATAGATAGATAGAGAGAGAGAGAGATAGATAGATAGATAGATAGATAGATAGATAGATAGATAGATAGATAGATAGATAGATAGATAGAGAGAGAGAGAGAGAGATAGATAGATAGATAGATAGATAGATAGATAGATAGATAGATAGATAGAGAGAGAGATAGATAGATAGATAGATAGATAGATAGAGAGATAGATAGATCCTGCATGAAGACCAGTTCTACAATTGTTGTTGTTGTGTGCCCTCTTGTGGCACATAAGAAGCATTACACAATGCTTCTTAAACACATTCATACACTTGAATTTCACTGACATGCCGCCACCTGCTGGACTTAAGTGTACTTTTTAATAAATCAGTCAGGTCCCAATAATAACTACTACTACTGTTAGTGGGAACTAACTTAAAGTTGAAAGAAAAATATAACCAGTGGTTCCTCAGAATTTTCAAATAGCAAATTTTAAATTAGCTCTAAACTAACTTTGGTACAATGCATCAAATGGCAACAATTATAGTCCCTTTCAAATTAAAACAATCCATTAACTTTCAGTGATTTGCATGTCAAATTAGCCTAACATCTAATTGACACCATCAATTTATTTGAAACTGATATTAAACAGTTCAAACTTCAGTAAATTTAAAATAAGCCACATCACATTAAAAGCCACCTGACCGCAGTTGACCTCAGGTATCAATGCGCTAACGGACAGCCAACTACGCGGAAGGATACATATTAAGTATCGCGATGGCGCCTTGATTAAAGTTATCCGTTAATTGCTGCATCAGCACTCCTCCTGTTCGCCCCACGGCACCTGTCTGACACGAGCGAGGCCCTGACGAACTACCTGCGTCTGCTCAGGTGAGTAAGACAAACATTATGCAACACAACTGAGGTAATACGTGTGTGGGAAAAAAAACAAAAAACGTGTTAACACGAGTTCTGATCATAAATCAGCGTTTACCTGTCGAGACAAGAGCGTGAGTCAGTGTTCACCTGAGCTTTATTGTGTCTCAGTCAGGTGAGAGTGAGACCACCTGTCTGTCTGTGGGATGACTCACTTCAACAGTTAAAGCCTTTTATGGATATTTAAAGTGAATCCCTGCTGTCATGTTGAATATGATGATATAAGGCTTCAGGTGGCGAGTGTAGAAAAAGATGTTGGTTTATTTGGTTCAGGTTGAAGGCCTCAGTTTCCGCGTGGGAAGCAGACCAGCTATGTAGACCAGGTGTACTTTGACCTGTGCAAGCAAAAAAAAAAACAGAATACCACCCAAAACATGAGCTCTCAAATCAACTCTTTTGAACACAATGAAGATATAGCACACCTCGGTTGTGGCTCTGAGGTGATGGTAGAGTGTTTGGTGGATTCAATGAACGTTTAGGGCAGATCTGTTTGTGTCTGCAGTATGAATATCTGTAGTCTCCCCCCCCCTCTAGCGCCACCTTATGGTGATATTGATATTTTGGTGCAAACACTTGGTCTGTGGTCTTTTGCTACCTGTCAACTTTGTCCCACAGTTTTTGCATCTTGTTACCAAAAATAAAATCAAACCTATAATAAAGTTGTATTTTTATATGTTGGACTGTTACGTCTTTTGTACAAACAAATGAAGTAATTTCACCTGAGTTGACTGGCAGCTAATTTACATATTCTGCCCCCATAGGTGGAACCTATTTACTAAACGCAACATAAATCAGTAGAAGAGAAGAATACACTCGCTTGGTCTGGCTAATGAAATAAAAACACACTCTTACTCAGTTTTTACTCTTTCAATGTTTGCCTCAACATCCCGCATTGTTTCACATTCTGTGTTTCCTAATGCTGATGTATAGCTGCGTTTGGCTTAGTGTTAGGTGCCGGCCAGGGTCGGGTTCCATCTGTAGTGAAAGGAGCTCCAGAGCTGGTTTGCCACATGAGTCAGTTTATACAGTTTATGTCTAAAACCCTCCAAAACACTTCCTCTAATTCTTCCCAGAGTCTGACCAATAGCGTCTTTGCTCGGCTCACCCAGATGACATCATCTTGAGATCGCTCGGCCGGAGCCACAGAAAGACATTGCACAACTGTTAATCCAAACTTCCTGTGAACTCCAAACAGACAAGCAATCTGGACTCCCTTTCACTCCTAACCAGGCCGTAGATATTACAACATGGACTCTCCCTTAATCATGAGAGGAATCTGCTCCGAGCATTTTTAAGTTTCTGTCTGTCTACACTTGGGATGTTCTGTCTTTTTGGTAGTCATGAATAAGAGTGAAGTTCTTTCTCTTTCATAATGATGCTGAGTCAGGATGCAGACACTGATGTGTGTAAGGGGATTTCATACCTGAGATAAGTGTCTCTCACTTTGTCCCATTTATGCATTTTTCTGTTTATCTCATGGTCTCGTTTTTACCCACTGAACATACAACTGGTTAGTATGATCTTGGCCGGTGGTTCTCAACTTCTGGGTCGTTGAGTTGTTTTCAGCGGGTCGCGAAAGTGTCAATAAGTCTAAATATCACTTTTAAAACATGTTTGTTTAGTTTCATCTCTTTGTTCTGTCGCATGTTTTTGTACCGTCTGATGTCCAAACTGAACAGCTTTTCATAAAACAAATCTCATTGGTTGAAAAATATCCAACATTTGGGTCTAGACCAGTTGAGAACCACTGATCCAGGCAACAGGCCTGATGTTTTGTGTGTCATGGTGTACAGACTAATACCAAAGATCTGCACTTCAGGAGGAATGTGTTTTAAGGAATTTAAATTGAGTATTTCAATATTTTCTCATCTTGTTCTCCTGCAGAAACTTGATAGAGACACAAATCAAAGATGGAGTATAATATGAGAGTTCATCCAGAGAGGCTGGGGAAAACAGACGAGACTTAAACAAGTCATTGATGACTTTTGACCCCATCGTTTGATCTTTTCTTTTAAATAGAAAAGAACATTTTACCCTATTGGAAAGGGAAAGTGCCTATAACGACCCCTCCACATTCATCCTAATGCTTTTTGGCCTTACTGATAAGTTACATAATGACCCACCACATGGCCCTCACCCCAACCCAAACAGCATCTCCAACTTCAAAAGGCCCGGAGCTCCTAATACTATCTACCCCATGACCCCTCCCTTATTGCCATGACAACCCGGTCATGGGACTCCTCTCCACCTCTCTCATCATTACAGTCGAGATAAAACTGAAGTTCTCAGGAATCCTGAGTGAAGAGTTAAGATGAGGCCGGCCCCCTCTGCTCAGCCGTCATGTGTTTGGGATTAGACTGACTCTCTAACGTGACACTGACGGAGCTGAAAGTCTCTCAGGGCCACCACAGCGCCGAGGTCCAATCATCCCACAGGACCTCGGTGCACCACGTCAAACATTTGGCCGATGAACCGCTAGTGTTTTTAAGGAAGGGAAAGCCACGAGGAAATAACATGTTTTAGTGACGAGTCAAGCCAAAACTTTAAATAATAGATGGTTTCTGTGTCTTATGTGTAAAAATATTCAGCTTGTTTTCTCTTACTTGGTAAAAATTGACCCTTTTTTTGGGGGATGTTTGACTATTGGTCAGACAAAAAGAGATGTATCAAGTAGTCACTTCTTACTCATGATCCCAGGGTGGTACAGTACAGGCAAATGTAAGGGACGCCTGCCGTCCATAGGGGGCACCCTGGCACCCGAGTGAGGAAGGAAACGTGTGTTTAACTTTTACTTAATGTTATTTTATCTGCATCACCTTTTTAAAAAGGCCCTATTTTCTTGCTCCCTGCTTTTTGTAGGTGAGGAGGGCAGACGAGTTATCAGAAGCGATTGACACTGATCGTAAAGAACAGCTGTAATACATAAAGCTGTATGCCTGTTGTCTTAAAATGTAGGAATATTGTGATTGGTGGTGGAACTGGTTGCAATACAAGGGGCTCCAGCTGAAATCTTGCCTAGGGCACCAAGTGGGTCCTGTAAAGGGTGTTTTTTTTTTTTTTTCTTAAGTTTGTTTTCTTGCTTTTGAAAACAGAACTTTAAAATTCAGTTTTGCACGGCCAGAATCAGCTTTGTTTGTCATCTAAACCCTGTGACCTGAAGTGTAGACTTGACTTACTCACTATCATCCTTTTATTTGTGTTTTTACCTGAAAGGAGAAACAAGTTTTAGCCCTTAGAGTTTAGTGATGGACGATTTCATTAGAGCCCGACCGATTAATTGGCAAGCAGATAATATCGGCCGATATTATCACATCAAGTGCCCTGAGATCACTAGATTTATTCACCAGTTTTTTGTTTCATTGTATTACACCAGCAGTTCTCTTTCACCAGCAGAGGGCGCTATATTGATTATCACAAACATTATCAATCCAGAGTGGTGATGCACGTAGTGTTTGATAACTGTTAAAGGGATAAAAGCAATAAATATCTACATCAGTCTTTCTCTACAGATCAAACATGGATCAAAGAAATATATCGGCCTTTTCTCTGTATCTGATTTTTTTTTTTTCTCTTACTAATATCGATATCGGCCCCAAAAATCCCATATCGTTCTGGCCCTAGTTATTATAGATCAAAATCACCCCGGTTACCCAATTCCCACCCCTAGATACATTTGTTAAAAATAGGATATACATGGGGGGGGGGGGGGTGACTTCGGTTTGTGCAGAGGTCTTCTGGGTGGGTGGTCCTGGTTCTAGTAAGGATAAAAACGAGTGAATCTTTCCACCTTTTTTTTTCCATCCTATTTTCCCACACTTTAGATGTTTACTTCTTTGTCCAAACAAACTTTAAATCTCTTCAGTAAAATCCTAATCCAGTCTCTTTAACCCCCCCCCCCTCATCTTCTTCTTCTTGGCAGGATTGTGAATGAGTCACATCCTCCAAAGTCTTGACCTTGTGAAAAAAAAGAAAAAAAAAAGGCAGTTTGCTCAGCTTCCAGGAATCCAGTGTGGGATTCCCCCCTCCCCCTCTCCTCAACCCTCTCCTCCCCACTCCTTCCCCCCTCCATGCTGCTTGTCTGCCATGTTGCTCAACACCGGGCCCTCAGGCTGCTCGTCTCGCATACCTCCATGTTGCTCTGCACTCGCACTGAACCCCGACGGAGCTGCTGATTGGACAGGGGAGGGGAAGAGAGCGTGTACCTGCCAGGTGGAGGTGAATACAGCTTCTTTATTGGCTGGTTAGGAGTGAAATAGAGTATTAGGACTCCTCCTTCTCTCTTTTATCTACTTAAAAAGCACCGGTGGAAACAGCTGAGGAGTAAAAAAGAGAAGGGATTATACGAGTAGTGGACAACACGTTGCCTCAAGGAGTCGAGCAGCTGATTCTAATCACAGGTATGAAGAGTTTGTTTTCTCTTACCTTGACTTGATGTTTTGGGGAAACGGCAGGTTAAGCTGTTTTGGTAACTTGAGCTTCTTTAAAGTTTAAGAGGGAGCATCCATGTTTTCTTATCATCTTTACAAAAACTACAAATCATTCAAATTTGAAGGTGTGCTGTGAACTTCAGGTACGGCTGCTTGTTCTTTGGTCTCTGATCTTTTTGTCTCCATGACAAAGAGACGTTAAAGTCATTTCTGCAAAGTCAGCATCAGTTTACATCAGTGTGTAATCTAAACCCTGTGACCTGAATTGTAGCTTTGACCGAGTTACTGAGAGGAGGAAACTGTAACACTGAGTGTGATGATGATGATGATGATGGGAGTTTCAATAGTAGTGTGTGAGAATGAAACCATTCTTTGTCTGCTTTAAAACAAATTTAATTAAATGTTTGATGTTTTCAGTTGTTAAATTGCAACAGATTTTGAGTTTTTCTCCATTTTTCATCAATTTAAACTACATTTTTGTTCACGTTTTGGGACTTTTATTCAGAAATAGACATTTAAAGACTTGGATGTGTCTGAAATGGAGCACTTTCAGTATTCAGTACGAGTAAATTGTCTGGTATTTATGTCCTAAAACATTGCTTCTCTCTTCGCCTTTGGCTGCTAGTTTAATATTAATTCTTTTTACAATGTTTGTATGAACATTTTCAGGAATTTTACAGAGTGTAAAGAATAAATTCAGACAGGAAAAACAAAACAGGGCTGACTTTGCAGGACATTATTCTACTTTGCTTCACTTGCACAATATTTCTCAACACAAACATTTACAGGGCGGTTAGCTGTAAAAAAAACAAAAAAAAAAACATTCACTGTCTGGGAACTCTGTTAAAACATGCAAGGTAGACTAATCCAAAAAAAGGCTGCCAGATGCAGAAAAATGTTAAGATTTCCCATCATGCCATACTGGATTGTCTCCATGTGTAGCACCAAGGACAGGTCAGTTAGGTCTCGGCTGCTTGTTTATTTTTCTGTATGTGTACATATGATGGTTGTGTATGCTCCTGTGCATGTGCGTGGTATGGGATGATGCAGGGTCCTTTTTTTTTGTTTTGTTTTGAATCCAATTTTTCTTCTTTTAAAAAAAAAAAAAAAATGCATTTGTTTATTTGTGTCTTCTGTGAAGCACATTGCATTAGATTTGTATGAAATGTGCAACACAAGTAAAACTGAATGAAATTAGTTTTTTCGTTGGTTTGATGATTTGAGCAAACTTGCGGAATTTTCTGGACTTTAAATTGGTGAAGGATGTTTTTGGTTTCAGGCTTGAAATGTTCACGGTGGTCCCACTCACTCTTCTTCAAGACGTTACAAACTTTATAGAAAATAACTTTCTTGTTGGGAGAAAAAGAAGTCATTCATTGTGAAGTTTAAATGTCAGAGTTTTAGAAGTAAGGGCTTTAAATGAAATGTTTTCAAGAAGACATTTTTTAGTTTTTAGCATCTCACATGAGGAAGGAATTTTTATTTTTCCCTTATAAAAAACCACATTAGGAATTGAAAGTTGTTTGCTTGACTTCTAGTAAACTGTGATAAACATTTTTAACTCTAATCGTTTACAGCCTTCAGATGAATTAAGATCAAGCACATTCACTGATATTAATAATCTCCACTTGTAGTTTAACGTGAAGATAAAACCTTAAATCATTTTGTTTTATTCAAACCATTCCTGATGTCTAAAAACACAAAGGACACGATGTTAAAGGAATTAACGAGCCAGTCTCTAACTTGACAATAGTCCACCTGCTGAGTGACGTCGGGACCCCGCAGGCTGCTCCGTCATCTCCCCGGCTCGTCCGCCTTTTTATTGTTTGATTCACCCGGAGCGTGTGTAACTCACAGATGACAGTTATTAGTTGTAAGCTGACGATGTTGCTGCAACATGCGCCTGCCTGTCGCTCCGCCTCCGGGCTGTAAAGTTGCAGAAGAGGTGAGCAGGTAGAGACATTGCGAGGTGTTGTGAAAGTGTGTCAGTGCGCTACAAAGGAGGAGATTGTTTGCGATGATGCAGCAGTGTGTTGGTTGTCGGCTTGTAGTCGCCCTGGAGGCTTCAGATCGAGTCACAGGGAACAGATGGTCAATGCCTGTGTGACACGCTCTATTGACTTTCTGACTCAGACAGGGAGGCTGCTTCATGCTGCCGTGGTGACAGAGTCAAATGTGTGATGTGGCAAAATGTATTGATTTCTAGATGAGGTTTTGCATTGCCAGGTCAGATCTCAAACCTCTGTCTCACTGAGCAAATGACCACAGTAGAGATGGAAGTTAAAAGTTAATCGAGCAGTGTGTAAATGCTCAGGAAAGATGTTTCTCCTCTGCTAAGTTTTGGATCCCCAAAACGTGCAAAGAAGAGGTTGCTGAAAACTTTCTTGCACCAGGACTTGTTGCTGTGTGGCTTTTGTTTTGTTTTCATTTTGGCTCAACCTGCCCTTTCTTTTGTGTGTGTGTGTGTGTGTCCTCTCTCCCTGCCTCCCTGCAGAGTTACGGCGTGTGTTTCCTGGCAAAATCGACACCACAGATTGATCGCTCAGACGTGCAGCAAAGATGGCCTCCGTCGCTCCGTTCAGCCGCAGACAGTGGGCGTCCCAATCCCTCAGGGTCACCGCCAAGGAAATGTCCATCGTCACAGCCCGAGGGAAAAACAACGCCATCGCCGAGCGTTTCTCCAAGTGAGTCTAACCTCTCCTCTCCTCTTACTCTCCAGCTTCCTCCTGGAGTTTAATAATTCATCAGCAGCCACTCAGCAGATTATTTGATTCACCCCCCCCCCCCCCCTCCCCCGGACGTCTCCTCTGCTCATCAGAAACGAGGTCATAGTCTGCCTTTCAACACTTTCTAACCAGCTGATTCAGCTTCCTCTTTTCTGTAAAAATGTGACTTATCACGCCGTCATGAACTACCAGTTGTTCTGGTTTAGTTCCTGTTAAGGCTCGTACAGATTAAGACTTTTTCTTAGAAGCACTCACACACATCCAGGGCTTCCCCTTTCACATATCAAGTTACTAATGAGTGAGATGGAAGGTTATATGGTTGGATATTTCCTCCTTGTACTTACTCTATCTGACAACTAGGGGTGAGTACTGCCCTGCGTGACAACTTAGACATTTATTGTTTTTTCCTCCAAGTGTGAGAAATTGTTACATTTATTTTCAAATCTTAACTTTTTATGAAACACCATTCACCAGATTTCATTCTGACTGATGGTG